CTCTCTCTCACACACACACACACACACACACACATACACACCAACCAACATACAGATTCCAATAACAATGAAAATCTCTCAAAGTAGGACAAGGAGCAAACAGCCTGAGAGAAACACATTGCTCTGTCTAATAAAACTTAAGATGTCACAAAATCACAAGCACGGGTGGTTTACACCAGTCACATTAAGCTCAAGAAATTCAAACATAAAAATGCCACTGTTTCTTCGTGTATTGTACATTTAAACTAGTTGCCGCAGAACGATGACGTATCCAGGTCAGTTGCCGCTAAAACATAATATAGAAGAATAATCATTCCGACCTCCTTAAACTTAAGGAGCTGATTTTTTTTTCCTTAAGGCGAAAGTAAAGCGTGACTTAAAATTAGATGGAACGTTGTTTTTTCTCTGTAGTACAACGCGAAGACAGAAGTATGCATTCCTTTGTTCATTCTCCAAGATCTCATTTTGTTTGCTAAAAACACAACATATCATTATATGAACAATGATAGTCATGTCGTGATGTGGGTTACAGGTGAAAAGAAATGTTGGTTGGCTGAGGAAAGGGGGCGAGGGGTGGGGGGGGGGGTGTGTGTGATAAAACGGCTTTAAGATATACGACCGGATTATGAAAACGTAAACAACCCACGACAAGCAACCCAAACAACGGGCTCGCTGATTGGTAAACAGATCTTCCTCATGAGCAAAATGTTTATGACGTGACAGGCCGTACATGACTCAACTGTGCTCTCAAACACTAAAAGGTTAAAAAAAAAACCTGCAGAGAGGAGATCCAAACCTCACTTCATATTACACAAACATTGAAATCTCCCTACATGGTCCGTTCCCTTGAATCAGTACCCAGTAAATTCTCCTTATTGTTAATCCTTATTGTTGTATTTGGAAATAATACTACCACTACTATAATTACAGCAGATGTAATTGCAATAATTTAGTGGGTATCTACGTTTTACAGTCTGCTCCGTGCGATTAAAGTCTGCAAGAAGTACAGGCGTTTCCTGGAATCACTATAAACGGCAATATAATCCTTACTACGTAAACATGCACTTTAAGAAATCCTAAAGCACCTTTTGCGTTGTTTCCAGACACAGATTTGCAAACACACAAAACCGACACAGAATGGAAAGACTGCCTAACGAGTCCAAGGCTGCTCACGTACTAAAGCATTGTTCCAGGTAAGACATGCAGCACCATCATCATTGCCTGAGCTTCTTCAGTTGCCTTGCGGCGCCCTGCTGCTGCCCACTGACTCATGCAAGAACGGTACCAGACGGTGTGAGGCATGTTTATATCAACGTGTATATATTTGATGTTCCGCCTCATATCCCGTCGGACACCGTGTGGTGTGCACACACCACAATATCATAACGCATGGACGTTTCAAGCTGATGTATATAATAATATACAGATCTAGTTGGGACTGAGGGGGGTCGAACAGAGTCCGGGATTTGTTCTGGCCGGTGCGCACACATCAAACGAAATCGACTTGATCGGCTTTTAGCCTCTACGTAATACGGTGCACCAAGCAAACAGTTGGTCCGCAACCTTTATGCGTCAATGGACTACGGTCTTGGTCACAGTGTGTAGTCATAATATCTAACATTTCTGTGGTGAAAAAAAAACAAAACTAAGCGATAAAGGAAATACTAATAAACGTGTATCAGAATCTTACAAAACA